TTTTTAGTAACAGTATCACACTGTTGACTCATATTTAGCTTGTGATCCACTATGACCCCTAGATCCCTTTCTCACGTACTCCTTCCTAGGCAGTTGCTTCCTATTTTGTATGCAAGAAACTGATTACTTCACTGAGGAAGGAACACTCTGCATTTGTCTTATTGAACTTCATCCTATTTAGCTTAGGCAATTTCTCCAGATTATTTTGAATTATGACCCTATCCTCCAAAACACTTGCAACCTCTCCCAGCTTGGTGGTATCTGAAAACTTTAAAAGCATACTCTCTCTGTCATTATCTAAATTGTTAATGAAGATATCGAACAGAACCAATTCCAAAACTGATCCCTGCAGAACCCCACTCTCTGAGAATGGTTATCCAACCAGTTATGCACTCACCTGATAGTAGCCTTAACTAGGTTGAATTTCCCTAGTTTATTGATAAGAAGGTCATGTGAGACTGTATCAAATGTTTTACTAAAGTCTAGATATGCCATATCTACCACTCCCCCTTATCCAATAGGCTTGTTATCCTATCAAAGAAAACAATCAGATTGATTTGACATGATTTGTTCTTTATAGACTGTTTTCATTTTTCATATTTTCATTTTCCTGCTCTTTCTTTTAAGGGAAACCAAAGTTATTAGGCTGGAAGTGCTCACAAATTCCACTGGGAAAGCTAGTGGATCTTCTAAAAGGGTGGTTCTCAAAATGCAATTTGCAGATCATTGGTGGTCTGCGGCCTTATAGGTGAGGCGCAGCTTTAGGCTAAGCTTCCCTCCCTTGCAATCTGCTGGCAGTCCAGCCCCGTGGGTCCCCCACCACTGAGAAGGGGGGGTGGAAGCCCTGAGCATCACGGGCTGGATCCAGCTTGTGGGAGGAGCAAGTGGCTCTGAGTACTGCTGTTCCCCCCACTTCCCGGCTGGGGGAATGTCAACACATGGATGCGCCGCCTGGAGGCTTTCCCCACCGCTCCCAATAGCCAGAATCGGGGCCAATGCGAGCAGCGGGGAATGCAAAGCCAGGTAAGTGCTCCTCACCCTCCTCATGCCCAGACCCTGCAACCCATCTCCCCTCATGCACACTTCTACAGCCGAGACCCTCTACCCTCTGCCCATTCCTGCATCCTCCATCCCACCCTGATCCCCCAGCCTGCTCCTGCACCCTCCCTCCTGACCAGACACTGCACCTTTCCCCTCCATACTGGCCAGACACACCAACCCCAACCTGCTCCTGCACCCTCCCTGCCCCTTCCAGACTTCCCACCCCTAGCCCGCCTGCACCCTCCCTTTTGGCCAGACACCCCACCCCCAGCCCACTCCTGCACCCTCAAACCCAGCCAGACCTCATACCCTCACCTCTCCTGCTTCCAAATTCCCAGCCTGACCACCACTCCCAGCCCACTCTAGCATCCTACCTTCCACCCAGACCCCCATCCTTACCTTCATCCCTAGCCCACTCCGTGGCAGCCCCCTCCCGCACACCGAACCCCTCATTTTTGGCCCCAGCCCAGAGCCTGGGGGCTCACAAAAACTACTAACCCTGGGACCCCAGAAAAAATAATCTGGCCTGTGAGAAGCCTTGAACCTTGGTCCTCCCTTTCCCCTTTCCCACCACACCACCCCCACGGGGCTGGAGACCAGGGGAGTGAGGGGTCTCAGTTGGAGGCCACATAATTGAGGGTTGGGGGGTTTTGGAGGGTTGCCACTCACTTTTGTGTGACCCCTGACTAATTTTTCTGTGGCTCAGTGGCTTCCAACCTAAAAGAGGTTCCCTACCTCTGCTATAAATAAAGATAATGTTGAAACTTTTTGTTTTGGACATAAATTAATATTTTACTTTATCATGTTAGTTTACCAAACTTTATTTTAAATAAAGTTAAAGCATTTAATCTGTTTAATTATTTTGATTTTGATTAATTACATTTCCTTTTTTACCAGATATATACAGCCCCTTATGTTATAGCTGCGTATTTAAGTTTTTATGCTCCAGTAACCTAATATAAATAATTTAGTATTTAAGCTATTTAGTGATAACAGAAGGCATTTTGTAATCATGGATGGTTAGCTGGGGGTCCACGGAAAGGTTTGCATTGAGCAGGCTGGGCCGCAGGACAAAAAGTTTGAGAACCACTGTTCTAAACCCTTAGAAATTCAGAATGGGCAGATTATAGACTCTGATAGTTTCACTAACAGCTGTTGAAAATCCTACAGATTGCAGTTGCAAGTGATTAAACACTAAACCTCCCTCCCGCAGAGTTTATTTATAACCTTTACAAAAAGCTACTGTTGTTCTGACAAATTCTACTGGCTGCCATCAGACAAGTCTTTGATCCCAACAATCACAGACCTAGTTGCAGTCAACAGGTACATCAAGGATTCTTTCAGACCTAATGGAATTATTTATTCCATTATTATCTGATACAGTTATAAACAATGAAGGATGACCCCCACTAGATGACAGGTCATGGATTTCTCTAACTGACAACACAGGAGCTAAGAGATCGATTTTTCAGACTGTGTGCAGTTGAAGAAGAGAAAGCCTGCAGGTGTGGTGAATACAACCCTCAGAGGAAGCAGAAAAAGACATTGTCAGGCACAGAGCTTACTTGAACAGCATACTTTGGGGGTCTCTGAGCTAAGAAGCGGTGCCTGCTATCCGTTTCTACTGTGTTTAGGGAAACTGGGCTTTGTGTACTGTGGCAAAGCTCTGTTAGTGCCCCCTGTCCTAGGTAGCAGCTACTAGGGGGCTCTTGCCCTTATCCCCAACATAGAGCAGCCCTTCCCTGGGCCACTTCCTCCAAACACTCCCACAATACCTTCTCCCTGGTCTTGTGGGAGAAACCTCTTCTGTTTGCCACTGGACAGTTTTTGGCCCTCTCCCTCTCTGCCTCCCCTCCCGTTCTGCCTTCCTCAGGTGACTGCCTTAATTGCTGGGCAGCAGTCTCCAGCAGTCTATTCATGGAACAGGAACTTGTTCACCCAACTACCTGCCTGTATGCCCGCCCTCTATCAAACTCCTGCAGCCTTCTATCTCTGGTGTGCCATAGTACATTATTTGTAAATAAAACAAGATTACACCAAAGAATATACCTGGTTCATATCAAGTTCTCCTCTTAAAGAGTACAACTCTACAAAGCCCTGAATACTGGCTAATTGTTCAGGCCAAAGAGCCAATCATATCTAACTCAGTACAAAGCTGTAAATCTGTTTCTGCACTGAAATTTGCCTACAAAGGTAGTTTTCTATGTTGGCAACTATAGTTCACTAACATCTCAACCCAAAACCATACCACAGTCTCACTGAAGCCAGGTTCTACATGAGACTCAGCAGCTTGGCGTAAGGTACTCAACCCCAGTTATGTAGAATAGCTGGAGTTGGCTTATCTTAAGCTGAGCTGGGTGGGATGAAAGAGTATGTCTACACTAGCTCGTTAGTTAATCAGAACTCCGTGCCCGCGGCTACACGCGGCATGGAGTAGGTAGTTCAAATTAAAGATCCTAATTCAAAGTACTGTTACTCCTCATTCCACGATCCTCATTAGGATCTCTAATTTGAACTACCTACTCCATGCCGCGTGTAGCCGCGGGCACGGAGTTCTGATTAAGGGGGATTTAAAAATGGCAGCGCCCAGGAACATGCAAATGAAGCCCGGGATATTTAAATCCCGGGCTTCATTTGCAACTCTGGTTGCCCTCATTTGCCTACCTAGCTCGAACTAACGAGCTAGTATAGACATACCGTAAGCGACTAGTCGACTAGTCCAGTGTTTCTCAACTAGTAGTTCGAGTACTCTTAGGGATACTTGAGAAAAGTCTGGGGGATACATCAACACAACTGAAATTTGGAGAAAACTGAATTTTTGTTTTAAGTTTTACAGCGCTTTATTATTTTTGTACTTTTTACACCCCAAAATTTCATCGTCCATCCAGCTACGATTAAGTTGTTTAAACAAATGTGCTGCAATGGTAGAAAAAATTGTGTGTGTCTGAAATCTGTAGGTACTGGGGGTACTTATAATATTTTTAAAGGGGTACATTATAAAAAAAGGTTGAGAAACACTGGGCTAATTGACCATCCAATAAGCAAATGCTTATTGGACAGTCAACTTGACTAGTCACTTTCACTGCCCCGTCCATGGCCAGCCCTGGCTGCCTTGAACAGGGGTTGCTTAGTGGCAACAGCCCCATCCATTGGGGGCCCCAGCTCCTTGCTGGGACCCCTGCAGACAGGGGCTGTTGTGCAGCAGAGTCCCCTATCCCCGCCCTCCCCCTGCCTGGTGCTGGGGCAGGGGAGCTGGCTTTTAAGCCGGCTACTCCAGGACTAGTTTCTATCCCCTCCCCACCCTTGGTGCTCGCACCGTTTCCTGCTGTGCCTCTGCCTCCCCTGTCCCCCGCAGAGATGGTGCTGGGGGACACCAGCTTTATCCATTTCCCCCCAGCACCGGCTCCAGCTCCCCACCTTGCTGTCTCTCTCTGACAGAGGAAGCAAGGGGCTGCTGCCTGAGCAGCCCCTCCCTGCGGCCAGTGCTGGCCACTGCTAACAGGGGCCATTGGACTCACAGCAATCCAGGACTGCATTTTAAATGTAGTAGGAGCCTAGCAGTTCTTACTACATTTAATATGTAGAGCTGCAGCGTGGGTGGCTCCGGAGCCAGCACTACTCAGCCCTGGTTGGAGTCGGCTCCTGGAGCTACCCCCACTGCAGCTTTGCAGAGGCGCTTACTGACTAATCGTATTGTTGATACAAATTGTATCAACTAAACAATTAGCCAGATAATTGTATTTTCACATTGTTCGTTCCCACAGCGGTAGGCCAATGGGAGCAAATGCTCCCATTGGCTTCCCTTATGCCTCGCAAAAGGAAAAGCACTGGATGCCAACAGGGGTGCCCTCTGAGTTTGATTTTGTAAGTCTTAACTACATTCACTGAATCAAACTCTGGAAGATCAATCGTGGCACTGCTATTGTCCGTGTAGTGAAGACAAGTTCTTAGTCTCTTACTTTAGTTTGGCTTCTTGGTCATCGATCTTCTCCTTCAGCTCCCAGTTCTCCTGAAGCACAGCCTGTGCTGTTAGGTCAGTCTGTTTCTTGGAAGTGGCAAGAATACCTGATTCCTCCTCCATCTCTTGAACTCGATTTTGCAAAGAGAGGAGTAGAGAGGATTGTCTAGCATTATTTTCCTTGTAGCTTTCCACTTCAGTCTTAAGATCTTGCAATAAGACTTTTTTAGAGACTATTTTGGATCTGAGATCTAGAAGCTACAGACAGAGGAGAGGGAGAGATAGAAAACAATATAGACGATGTATATGAATTATTTTTTTTTAATTATTATTTTTTTAAAATCTGGCAGGAAATGCCTTTTTAACCAAAGTATCATATTCTTCCATCCTATTACCAAGGGATTCCATGGGGGGAAAAGTGACAATAGCTACCATTTCTTCAATACTTACCGAAAGCAATATGTAAACACCAGCCTGAGTATGAAGTAAACAAAAATCCCCAGAGTGCTTTCAGTGCCATTTGAAACTATAGCAAAAATATGCATTGGCTAAATGAAATAGACAAAGCAGTAAGAAGAAAAATGTTCTTTTTTAAATATCTATAAAGACTATAAATCTATTTTTTAAAAACAAAGCAGAATCAGAAAGAATCACTGTTGTCTTTTAAATTATATAAAATTAAGTTAAAACAGCATTAAGGTTACAAAAAAAATCACATATTCAAAAGTTAAGAAATACCAGAATTAAGGTTTTGTGTGAAACTTTAATGATACAGTCTTTAATTGTATGATAAAATACTATTTTTTTCACAAGATCTCTGCCTGCCTGTTCTCAGTTCTGGTATCTGGTGCCACGGTGGCCTCTTGCTGATGGAAGGAGTAATTGCAAGGAAAGTCCTGGTCTGGAAGCTCTATTATGGGATTAAAGCATGCTCACTGTGACTGGCAGAGAGCTCAAAGGACCTGCAGAATGTTCAGTAAAGAGCAAATGTTTGGAGAATGTTCCTAACAAACGTTTACAGAACATATGCTAACAGTGGTTTTCTGAGGCTTATAATTCTGACATCTGTATTAAATAGATTTCCATAGGAACGTCAAACAGCACCTCTTTAATCCCCTGATGGCACCCTGTACCTAACTTCAAGTCCCTATTCCAAAGTATGAAAGTGTGAGAGCTTTCCAACAAAACAGTTCTAACCATTTTTTTTAAACACTGGCAAAAGAACTCATCCTAACCTCATTCTCTGAAACAGTTGAGCCATTTTTGCTGAAAAATGCCTGCAGCTGAATGTTTCTGGGAAGACACTTAGCATGTAAAATTTCAGCCTAAATTATCAAAGTTATCAACAATTAAAACCAGGGACTTACAACAGAAAGTACTAAGCAACACTTCTTGCTTCCGGTTCCATTTTAATGAAAAAGGTTCAATAATTGGCAATTGCCACATTACAACTAAAATAAACAACCTATGTCAGTGCTCTTTTAATGAAAGAAGGATAGATTTGTGATTAAGGAACTGAACTGGAACTCAGGAGATCATAGTTTAATTCTTGGATCTGCCAAAGGCATCCTATGCGACCACAGGCAAGATACCTAATCACTCCATGCTTCAATTCCTTTTTCACTCTTGTCTACTTAGACCAGTGGTCTCCAACCTTTTTAAGCACAAGATCACTTTTTGAATGTAAGATCCACCTCAAACCCAAATACCCTGGCCCCACCTCCTTTGTGCCCCCTTCTCTGAGGCTCTGCCCTGCTCATTCCACCCTCCCCCCACCCTCATCCTCCTTCACTTTCACCAGGCTAGGGCAGGCAGTTGGGGTGGCAGAGGGGATTATAGGTGCAGGCTCTGGAAGGGTGTTTGGATGCAGGGGTGCTTGGGGCTAGGGCAGGGGCTTGGGTTGCAGAAGGGGGTTCATGTCAGGGGTAGGGTTTCGGGATGCGAGTTTCAGCTGGGCACTGCTTATCTCAGGTGGCTCCTGGGTGGTGGTGCAGTGGGGCAAAGGCAGGCTCACCCATGCCCTGATCTTGCACCACTCCCAAAAGCAGCGGGCAAACTCCATCCCAAGCCCTGTTGTGCCCTCTCTCTGCTCTGTGGAGATAGGATACAGGATGGAAGAGGAGGCACCTTGACATCAGCACCCTACTCTCTCTCCCCTGCACATCAAGCAGAAGGCTCCCGGGGGGGAGGGAAGGAAGCTCCAAAGCAAAAGGCAGGAGATGTGCAGCAGGCTGGGCTGGGGCAGCTGAAGTCCTGTGCTTGGCCAAACCAGTCAGGATCACCGGTCAGAAGCTCCAAGATCTACCAGAAGATCCTGATCGACTGGTTGGTGACCACTGACTTAGACTGTGTACCATTCAGAGACTCTTATTATGAGTCTGTACAGGACCAAGAACATGGAGCCTCTGAACTCAGGCAGAATATGTAAAGGTAACAGACAACAATATGAATTTAATAAGAATTTGGGTATTTTGGATGAAAGGGAAGGTGGCTTTCTTTAATTCCTTTCTGCCTTTTCCAAAAACAGTAGTGAAAAGATACTATAAAGTGGTCTGTCATAACAATAAATAATAGATTATTAAAATATTCTTCATTCAAAAACTGGAGTACAGTAAAAGATCAACAAGAATCTCATCTTCTTTAATTCTTTCTAATTAAATGTAAAGCTAACATATTGATCACGTGTTTTAATGATAGATAGGGAAGCATTTTTTTACAACAATATGAACATTAACTGGCCAAATTCCAGCTCATTCTACTGATCTATATTCACCCCTATTTTTAGTGTCCTAAAGTACTGCTTTTTGTTGCTGTAAACTATTTAAAAGTTGTTTGATTTTACTACAAAGTTGGCTAAATTTAATTCATGGGCAATGTGAGTTTTGATTTTGATACATCATACAAGTGGATCCTGAGAAAATCAAAAAAACGGCATGCTCTTATAGCATTTATTAAATACTTAGGTGCTGCCTGGATGAAGAGTGCTATCAATATAGGACAATGAAAGGACTATCTTTAATTTCTATCAGCACAGAAAAGCCACTTTTACTGCATAATTGGATCAGATGAGCTTCATCCAGTAACGGAAATAAAAAATAAGCATGTTAAGAAGTGGGAAAATACTAAAGCCTTGGAATCAACAAATATTATAATCACTAAGATAACCACAGTGTTGAAATAATAACTTGGTTAGAATTGTGAAATAATGTATTTTACATTCAAAGAAACATGGTAAGAAAATCATCCTGGTGCCAATTTCAATTAATACACAAGATAATGGTTTAAAGACTGGAAACTGAAACAGGCAGATAAAAGCTCATATGGAGAATGTAAATAAATGTAATGAAAAAATAAAAACAAAATCCCATGATTAATAAAACAAAGATACATTTTTCATTCTCTGTGAGGAGATGTAGTGGATCTACTTTCTCCACAATGTGTATATTGCTCCCATTAACAGGAAAAGAACCATAAAGGGGTTTTATGGAAGGAGAGCTCTTTAAGGCTTACCTCTGATTGGGCACATTCATATTTTACCAGAAGTGCTGCTAGTTCACTATGGGCAGTTTCAGCCACAGCCCGATAATGATTTGCCTGTTCTCGAGTGACAGGAATATCCAGAAGAATATGATCATGAGAGCCCTGGGAAGACAACACAAGTCAGGGCAACTGAACCACCAGACATGAAGTTTCTGAACAACTATGCTTCAGATTTGATCTGTCATTTATTCTGTAGCTCAAAGCTAACACACTAAAATGTTGTGTGCCAACACTGGGTGTGCCTTACCCATCAAAAGAGTAAATAGACATCATTGTATTCAAATCAATGGAGTCTCTCTACTGACACTAGTGATAAATTTAGCCCTTGATTTATTAAACTGTTAAAATTCTAGAGTACAGCAGCAAAGTTACTTATGTGGGTATTGCACAATTAAATATTAAAGACGAAGGTTTTTCCAGACAGTCCTTGGCCAGAGAGAGGTCATATTTCCCTAATATTTCAGTATTTAAATACTGAATTTAAATATTTCAGCATTGCACATTGATTTACAGTTTAAAATATCTATATGAGGAGGAAAATGTAGTATGAAGGAATAAAAAGCATCAATGCACAGTATGAAGTCATGTAACTATCCACCTTCAATTCCCACCCTTCTTTTAGTTGCTGTTCCTCTTGGCTTTTACACTTTTCCAATTCATAGAATCATAGAAGATTATGATTGGTAGACCTCAGGAAGTCATCTAGTCCAACTCCCTGCTCAAAGCAGAACCAACCCCAACTAAATCATCCCCACCAGGGCTTTATCAAGCCTCACCTTAAAAACTTCTAAGGATCTAGATTCCACCACTTTCCTAAGTAACCCATTCCAGTGCTCCACCACCCTTCTCTTGACCGTTTTTCCTAATATCCATCCTAGACCTCTCACGCTGCAATGTGAGACTATTATTTCTTGTTCTGTCATCTTCCATCACTAAGAACAGCCTGGTTCCATCCTCTTTGGAACTCTCCTTCAGGTAGTTGAAAGCTGCTATCAAATCCTCCCTCATTCTTCTCTTCTACAGAATACACAAGCCTAGTTGCCTCAGCCTCTGTTCAAAAGTCACGCGCCGAGGAGCGGCCCGAGGCAGGCTGCAGCAGCTGGCGCCCCAGGCAGAACGCACAATCGGTGCCCCCACCTGCATGGCTGCCAATGGGCCATCAATGTGGTGACGTCATCATCGGGCGCCCCGTGACGTCATCATCGGGCGCCCTTGAAGGCAGTGCCCTAGGCGACAGCTGAGTCGGCCTACAGCCACGGCCCGCCCCTGCATGTGCCCCAGCCCCCAATCATTTTCATTGCTCTCTGCCAGAGACTCTCCAATTTGTCCATATCTTTTCTGTAGTTGGGGGCCCAAAACTGGGCGCAATATTCCAGATGTGGCCTCAATAGTGGTCAACAGAGGGGAATAATCAGGCAGTGCTTCTATTAATGCAGTCTTATATTGCATAGCCTGCTTGGCAACAAGATCACACTGTTGACTCCTATCCAGCTTCTTAACCACTGTACTCTCCAGGTCTTTTTGTGCAGAACTACCGCTTAGCCAATCAGTCCTCAGCCTGTAGCAGAGCATGGGATTCTTTCATCCTTAAAAAAGACCTTATCCAAAATTTTGACAATATATAGAAGTGTTCAGTTTTTGGATGCTCTGAATCCTAAGTTTTGTTTTCATTCTCTTCTTACAGTACCGCTCACAGGAAGCCTAACTAGCTTAAGTAAAAGAGTTTATTTAATTGAGAAAAGAGCGACATAAAACCCAAGCCTTCAATTTAGGTCTACTCCAGGGTCTGCGTCCCACTAGAAAGCCCATATTTTGTAGTAATTGTAGACTGAAACAATATTAAATCATGATAGAAATGTAGCCATGTTAGTCTGGTGTAGCTGAAACAAAAAACAGGACTATGTAGCACTTTAAAGACTAACAAGATGGTTTATTAGATGATGAGCTTTTTTGGGCCAGACCCACTTCCTCAGATCAAATAGTGGAAGAAAATTGTCACAACCATATATACCAGAGGATACAATTAAAAAAATGAACACATATGAAAAGGACAAATCAAATTTCAGAACAGAAGCGGGATGGGGGGGAGGTAAATGTCTGTGAGCTAATGATATTAGAGGTGATAATTGGGGAAGCTATCTTTGTAATGGGTAAGATAACTAGATCCTTTGTTGAGACTCAGGTGTAAAGTGTCAAATTTTAGCATGAATGACAGTTCAGAGGATTCTCTTTCAAGTGCAGTCTTAAAAGGCTTAAGTGGGATGCAGGTAATTAAGTCGTTGAGACAACATCTCAGACACTTCGCCAAAGGATCAATGCCCACAAAACAGATATTAGACAGGATCACAAAGAAAAAACAGTTTCTTGCCACTTCAACCAGAAAGGACATTGTCTCAACTCCCGCCTCAATAGGGCTCACCTCCAGGTGGAGTGCATCTTTGACCGTCTGAAGGGCAGGTTTAGGTGCCTTCTCACGCGGCTGGACATGGGGGAATATGACATCCCCAATGTGGTTGCAGCATACTGTGTGCTGCACAACCTGGTGGAGAGGAAAGGGGAGGCTTTCCTCCCTGCATGGGGGACACGGGCTGATATGGAGGGGGGACACTTTGAGCAGCCCCAGACAGCTGCCATCCGGCAAGCCCACCAGCTAGGCTTGTGCATTCGAGAAGCCCTGAGGGAGCAATTCTTCCATGGAGACCAATGAGTTTCCCCAGGGCCTTCCAACTGTGGGGGATTGCTCCATGCCCCCGGTGCCTTCCTTCCCAAAACCCATTGGCACACCGAGAAAAGAGACAGGGGTTGGTGAAAACATTTGAACTGTTTATTGCACTGTTCCTTTGTTGAAAAATTAACATATAAAAATCTTTTGTTCAGAGAAAATAAAATACTCTTTTGTTCAGAGACAATATAAAACTCTTCTGTTCAAACCAAATAAAGTGTTTGTAAACAAACTAAAGTGCTTCCCTCAGTGACTCTCCCAGGTGGGAAGGGGGAATGTCAACTTGGAAGGGGGGAGGGAGGCTCAGAGCTGAGGGGACTGCCTGGAGGAAGAGCCCCTGGCACTTTGGCTGCAGAAGCCTTCTCGCACCTGGCTGCGCGTGTGGGCTAGGACAGTAGAGGGCTGGGCAGGAGGTGGGGCTGTACCTGAGTCTGGGATGGCAGGGGCTGAGGGGGGGACAGAGGTTGCGGCAGTAGGGGGCTGGGCAGGAGGTGGGGCTGTACCTGGGTCTGGGATGGCAGGGGCTGGGGTGGGAGCGGGGTCTGAGGGGGCGGGGCAGGCTGAGAAGGAGGGGGAAGAAAGGCACAGGACCAGGGAAAGCCATGGCCTCCCGGATTGCTGCGCAGATGTCCCTGTGCTGCTGGGCGAATTCAGCCAGCAACTGACGGCGCCACTCGGCCTACCCACCTGGGAGAGTCACTGAGGGAATATATCACATGGTGATGACAGAAATTTCAGAGCCATGCAATAAATCATCTGACGAAGTGGGTCTTTGTCCACGAAAGCTTATGCTCCAGTACATCTGTTAGTCTATAAGGGTGTGTCTAGACTACAGGGTTTTGTCGACAAAAGTGGACTTTTGTTGACAAAACTAAACCTGCCTCTACACTGCCATCGAGTTATGTTGACATAACGTCAACATAACTCAGGACCCACTTCGTCAGATGATTTATTGCATGGCTCTGAAATTTCTATCACCATGTGACTGCACACACATGTTCTTCTCCTACCCACATTTTTTAGCAGTTTAGAAAATATCAGCCTGCTAAGGATTAGCGTCTTGGGGAAAGTCACAAATAAATTCTCTAGAAGAAACAATGTCACATTTGTTCATTGGCCCAACTTCCATTTTTTTAAACATATGTCTTAGTCCAGGGGTTCTCAAACTTTGTGATACTATGACCCCCTAAAAACCCACAGATTGAGCAATGCTGCCTTAGTCTTTTAACACAGAAAGGCTTGTTTGTCATCAATCAACTGCCTGGCACAGTTTTGGGGAAACTATAAAAAGCATAGGTCTGATAACAACACTGTATGTTTACAATGACAGTGTAGAGTTTTCATTACTTTGATGTTATAGAGAATACAAAGAAGCATAGCACCCTGTTAATGTAATTAAATAATTTTGTTTACTAATCAAAACATGTACACAAGTGAAAACTACATACTTTATTATTGAAAGAGTAAATATTGATAGTACAACTTATAGTCAGGGCTTCTGGGATTTTTTTGGTTATATTAATTTCATATTTTGTTTAATGTATTCAAAAATTGGATATTTTGAGATTCTCTCCCTATATAGACTATAATGAGTAATGCATATTATTTTAATAGTACTTTAATGGGTAATTCTTTTGTAATGTTCCCTAATGCCCTTTAATGTAGTACTGGTTCAAAGAGCACTATGTTAAAGCACAAGAGGGGTCTTTAATGTTTAATGAATGCCAACAGAGCTATCCAGCAACACATTAGTGTGATTTAGAAATCACACTCTCCACAGTCTGCAGAGAACATTGAATCTAAGAGCTTGTCTGCGTGGCACAGTAAACAACCATTTCCAGCATTTTTTCAGTGTTTATTGAATAAAATCTAAATTTCCTTTTCTTCCCTCTCTACCTTATCAGGGTTGTCTTATAGGTGTTTATCACTTAAAAACAAAAAACAAAAATCAAAAGCCCTACTAGTAACACTCTGGACTATGTAGAAATCCCTTGCTGATAATTTTACCTCTTAACTCATCATAATATTTTCCCAGAGGCTACAACCTTCTTTATTTCAGTCAGACTGACTTCCTATAAACCATACTTTGTAAGACCTAATGAGTTGAAGCAATGGGTACAGCTGCAATGATCCAGGAGCATTTAAAGTCCCCACAATGCTCAGAGGCCAAGCCAGATCTATTTCATCTTCAACATGAACATAAAAAGAATGCCAAAACCAAGCTTGAAGTGCCTTTATGTGATCTTTAAAAGTATGGTCTAACCAAGACAGAAACCACAGCAGCAAATAAAGTGTCTCTTTTGCACACACAGGAACCAGCCAACAAAAGTACATCAGGTTCTGCAAAACACTTTCCTCCTACCACTTACACACATACACCTATATTCAGGTTTCCCAAAGCTCTGCACAAGCAGGTGAGTTATCCCACAGTCAAATCCAGACTACTTCAGCCAAGAGGTGGGCAATAATTTTTGCAGAGGGGGGCTACTTCACCAATTCAGGTTCATGGTCACAGGCCAGCTCCGCCCACCCCCTCCTCAGAAAGGGAAGCATGAGAAGTCTCCTTCCCCACCAGGTGTGCACGGCGCCTAGAAAGAAACCACCCCTTTCTTCCCAAGGCCCCTTCCATCCTAGGCCCCGCCCCCTTCCACCTGAGGCCCCATCTCAGGTGGAAGGGGCCTCAGGAAGAAAAGTGGTTTCCTGTAGGCACTGCACATACCTGGAGGGGAAGGAGACTTCTCATTGCACTCCCTTCCCTGCCAGTTCCAGGGGAACAAGCCCATTATACTGGAGATAGAGACCTTTCCTCCAACCCCTTTATATTCACAACAGCAGCTTCCAGGAACCTTCATATATCATCATTCACTCAACTCTCACTTGGCCTTCAGATATATATTTATTTCATTTGTTATATTATCTTTCATCCCAGCCCCCTTTCATTCCAAGTGCAAGTTGGTGGATTCCACAACACAACACATCATACTCAGATCAGAAGCTACAAAAACTCTTTTTAGTCTAAATATAACCCTTTTCCTGTGGTTTTTTAATTTAGTGCCTGAGTACAACGAGAAAAATGTAAACCTCAGCCTACAGGTGTTACTATGGTTTCCCTATAGGGACTTATCTGATCTAGGTTCCAGTTTCCTGTTACAAAGACCTATTTTCATCTTCCTTATATAAAGGCTTGAGTTGGCAAGCTGCACCTCCCACAGTGAGTCAGCAGAACATCAGTAGTTTTATGAAGGGTTCAAAACCCTCCTAAAGATAGCAGATCACCAGAAGAGCCATACCACCTTGTTATAGTCTCCTCTCCTTTGATATCACTGCAATACTTTAGCTGTCTGTCACCCTCTTCTCATTATGTTTTTATTATCTTTCTTTACCCTCCCCACCATTCTTCACACTGACTTCAACCCCAACAACAGTCCTTCAACCCTAACATCATCCCTATCAGAAAACAATAAAAAACTCTCCATAAGCTAAGTGTCAATCATCATCCTAACTGACAGGTTGATACATTGTGTCCCTTTCCACAACACTGTTTTGACTGTACGCTCTTCAGAACAGATATGGCATCTTCTTTTGTATGTCAAAAGCAACAAGTATATTTTGATTGCTAGTACAACAGAAAGAAAAAATGACTCACTAACCTTTCGGGCCTCTGTTCTTCCTTTGTTTCTAAAAAAGCAAATGGGAGAAAAATGAATTAAAAATGCTAGCTATCATAATATAGTGTATCTGAGAATTCTCATACATCTGCTCTACTGACCTATTTCCTGAACTTCCATCAACAGGTTCCAGCCACCAGAAGCTCTCCAACTGCATCCAGAGCAGCCTTCAGACCCTTGTCTACCCACTATCATGACAGACTCTTCACATGGCCTATGATCTCTGCTTCAGTTACATGACCAACTTTTGTCCAGTCACCTTTTCTAGCTCCCCCCATAAGAACAGCCTTACTGGGTCAGACCAAAGGTCTATACGACCCAGTACCCTGTCTTCCAACAGTGGCCAATGCCAGATGCCCCAGAGGGAGGGAACTCAACAAGTAATCATCAAGTGATCCCTCTCCTGTCATCCATTTCCAGCCTCTGACAAACAGAGGCTAGGGACACCATTCTTACCCATCCTGGCTAATAGCCATTGATGGACGTAACTTCCCATTAATTCATCTAGTTCTTTTTTTAACCTTGTTAAAGACCTGGTCTTCACAACATCCTCTGGCAAGGAGTTCCACAGGCTGACTATGTGCTGTGTGGAGAAAAGCTTCCCTTTGTTTTAAACCTGCTACCTATTAATTTCATTTGGTGACCCCTAGTTCTTATATTATGGGAACAAGTAAATAATTTTCCCTTATTCACTTTTTCCACATTAGTCATGATTTTATAGATCTCTATCATATTCCCCCTTAGTCTCCTCTTTTCTAAGATGAAAAATCCGAGTCTTTTTAATCTCTCTTTATATGGCACCCATTCCAAATCCCTAATCATTTTTGTTGTTCTTTTCTGAATCTTTTCCATGCCACTATCTTTTTTGAGATGAGGCAACCACAGCTATATGCAGTATTCAAGATGTGAGCGTATCATTGATTTATATAGAGGCAATATATAATGTCTTATTCTCTATTCCTTTTTAAATGATTCATAACATTTTGTTTGCTTTTTAGACTGCTGCTTCGCATTGAGTGGATGTTTTTAGAGAATTGTCCACAATGACTCCAAGATCTCTCTCAAGTGCTTACCCCTTCAGATCTTTACTCTCCTCCTTCTTCTCACGTCGTTGATTTCACCTCTCTTTTTTTTTTAAACCCAATTTCCTACTTAAATTAAACCCTCTAGCACAAATATGAACAAAACAAAACATAAAATCCATGGAATGAACATGACACTTGTCAACCTGAACCAAGCTGTTGTTTGTATGTTGCATCCCTTACCTCCACCTTTAAACAGTTTTCAGTCTTCTTAGATTGCAAGTTCTTAAGGCAGGGACTGTATCTGCCTATGTATTTGTACAGTGCCTAGTACCCTGGGTCTCAAGACTAATTGGAACCATTGGGTTTTGCCACAATTAAATGAACAAATAATAAAAAAAGAAGGAAACGTTGACTATTATTGATAAACCCAAAGCTTTACCATCTATCAACATCATACCAGATTCATATTTAACAAAATAAAGAAGAGTTGTGCTCACAGTTTCTCTTTTTAAATTATATTATTATTAATGGACACAAATGCATTAAAAAGGGGTTCATTCTGAAGAGTTAGGTCAACAGGAGGGGGTGAGAGTCTGGGTTTGAGCTCTCTGATAGGTCTGCATTGCAAAAAAATAAAAAAATAAAGAAAAAGAAAAAGAAAAAGTTGTGTTCTTAACTTACATGATCTACCCTGTATCAGGTAATACAGATTAAAATAGCAGCTAAGAGATGGCAATTTGACTTTTAACTTGAGGTAGCCTGTAGGACAGCCAAGAGTTGAAATGGAGTTCTAAGTTAAAAGCTAAATTCATGTGTCTTCATTGATATTTTAACCAGACCTAGTTCATACGAATCAGCTAAGCTGAGTTAAGAACACACCTTTTTTTGCAGTGTAGATATATCCTAAGAGAGAAGGTACAGAACTAGAAAGCTCTAAGGCAGAGGAGGGCAATAAGATAGTGGTGGTTCACCAAGGTTTATTTACCTGCGCCTCTGCAGGCAAAGGCACTTGGAGCTCCCATTGGCTGTGGAACTCTGATCCTGGCCAATGGGAGCTGCGGGAAGTTGCGTGGACCAGACACCACTTCCCGCAGCTCCCATTGCCCAGGAACAGCTGGGGCACAGTTATTGCCGACCACTGTTCTGAGAGATGTAGGTTAATGTGGCTTTAAGCCTCTCTTACACCAGCCTGATTCTAAACTGCTTTGGGAAATCATGGCAGCCTGCCCCGGACTGCTGATGGGTGACAATGCTACATGCTACAGTGCCTCCCCCACACTCTAAGGCTTGAAAGGGTACCCCAGAAAACAGCCTATCATTGTCTTCCCTAGTTCCACTAGCTATCTCATTCAGTTCTCCCAGAACTGAATCCACAGCTTTTAGAGCCTTTCACACAACTTTGTTCATTTTACCTTGTGTAAAGGGCTCAGAAATGTTTGAGATTAAAGTAAAATACACCTAGACCCTCTCAAACTTTACTTTAAAAGTACTTACTGAAACACCCTTATAATATTAATCAGTGTACTTATAATGGATTCTACTCTGTTAAAACGAGCTAAGTATTACCTGACTGCAGCTGGTATGTGGTTACATATGCTGCCTTTCGAGAAATCCCTGACCTTGATAATTTTTGTACTGCTGAATGCACCTCTTTTCCAAAGGCAGTGGAGGAAGGAATTCTAAAGTGCATGAGAAAATATATTTCAAGCTTGTCTCTCTCACCTCCAAAAGAACATAAGAACAGAAAAATGGCCACACTGGGTCCATCCAGCCCAGTATCCTGTCTGTCAACAGTGGCCAAGGCCAGGTGTCCCAGAAGGAGTGAACCAAACTGCCATCCATCTCCACCCTCTGACAAACAGGAGCTAGGGACACCATTCCTTACCCATACTGGCTAATAGCCATTAATGGGCTTAACCTCCATGAATTTATCTAGTTCTCTTTTAAACTCTGTTATAGTCCTAGCCTTCACAACCTCCTTAGGCAAGAAGTTCCACAGATTGACTATGAGCTGTGTGAAGAAGAATTTCCTTTTATTTGTTTTAAACCTGCTGCCCGTTAATTTCATTTGGTGGCCCCTAGTTCTTATATTATGGGAACAAGTAAATAGCTTTTCCTTATTCACTTTCTCCACACTACTCATGATTTTATAGACCTCTATCATATCCCACCTTAGTCTCCTCTTTTCCAAGATGAAAAGTCCTAGTCTCTTTAATCTCTCCTCATATGGGACCCGTTCCAAACCCCTAATCATTTTAGTTGCCCTTCTCTGAACCTTTTCTAATGCCAGTACAGTGGAGTCCGGATTAACCGACACCCGGTAATCCGACATTCCGCTTTATCCGAACCTGCAGCTCCCGGGGACAAGGTCCCCGGGAGCTGCAGGGTCAGATACAGCACAGGCTGGGAGAACGGCCCCGCTTGCTGTCCTGTCACTCTCTAGGAGCAGCTGCTGTCACTCCTGCCGGGGATAAAGCGGCCCCGGCAGGAACGATAGCAGCTTCTCCTAGAGAGCAAGGGAACAGCTGATGCTGCTCTGCCGGGGACGCTTCATCCCAGCAGGAGCAGCATCAGCTGTTCTGTTGCTCTCTACAGTAGAGTCCGTATCATCCGACATATTCGGTAATCCGACCATGTGTCGGTCCCGTTTAGGTCGGATGATAGGGACTCTACTGTATATCTTTTTTGAGATGAGGAGACCACATCTGTACACAGTATCAAAATGCGGGCGTACCATGGATTTATATAAAGGCTATAAGATATTCTCCATCTTATTCTCTATCCCTTTTTTAATTATTCCTCACATCCTGTTTGCTTTTTTGACTGTCGCTGCACACTGCATGGACATCTTCAGAGAACTATCCACAATGACTCCAAGATGTCTTTTCTGATCAACTGTAGCTAAATTAGCCTCCATAATATTGTATGTATAGTTGAGGTTATTTTTCCAATGTTCATTACTTTACATTTATCCACATTAAAAAGTTGGCCAAATAAAAGATATTACCTCACTCACCTTGTCTAATATCCTGGGACCAACATAGCTAATACTTTTCTTAAACCATCAGTTGCATAGACTGATCAAAGATTTGCCAACCCCAGGCATTCAAAAATCAGGAGCCTCAAAAAAATTACGAGATTTTTTTTCCCCAAAAAACCCACATTTATTGGTTTAAAGTCATGAGATATTTCACCTTCTGATTTCTGTGCGATCTTCTGTATACATTAATATTTTCTCCTGTTTATTTTACAATTACTGCATTTCAGTTTTGTCCCCTTTATTTTCACATTAGGTAAAAAGGTTAAATACAATGTCAGATCACTTTTCACTGTTATTCATCATCACAATGAAGTTCACCTACCCAGGTAGTCTTCTCCTTTCCAAACAGATATAACTTTTGGCTTGTAATGCCTTATTTTTTTTATGTGCTTCTCTGAACTTGTTCAAACATTACTATATCTTTTTCTGATTTAGTTGGGGTTTGTCCTGCTTTGAACAGTGTATTAGACTAAGTGAACTCCTGAGGTCTCTTCCAACCCTAATCTTCTATAAGTCTATGAAACAATCATAACCTAAAAACAATAGCCTAGGTGAATAAAACTAATTACTTCTGCATTTTCTGTATTTCTCTTGTAAGTCTTATCCAATAGTCATTAAAAGATGTTATTAGAAAGATAACACTGTTATTCTCCACTGTTGTTTATTTAATAACAAACTTAAGTAAAAGCTCAAAAGAAAGTAAAGTGGCAACCAAAATAATATTCTTACCGTCTAATCCTACAACTAGCAGTTAAATTCTCTCTCTCTTCCACTTTCCTCTTCATTAGCATGAGTTGGTCTTGGATCTAAATGTAATAAATACTGTTTAGCATGGTTAATTGTCTTGGGATAACTGATGTTTTTATGAAAATATTAGTATTTCAGTTTTTATAACAACTACTTACATATTCTGATAAAGACTTGATTAATTAAGGGATGAAGTAAAAAAGAAAAAAATGGGGAAATGAACCCCCCTCCCCTGCTGCTCTGCATCAATGGTTTTGTGAAATAAATGCCATGGAAAAGCTGAAAATTGTATGATTTGTAATTATTTTGAGATCAACACATCATAAATGCTTTACACATAAATATGGAAATGGAGTTCCTGTTCCATCGATGCTGCTACCACCAGACAAAGAGTGGGAAGAATAAGATGAAGCAAAAGCAATTGACTGCTCAGAAAATTGCCACTTGTTCACACGCAGTTTCACTTTTTTTATCTGTGGATTGGTTGGACAAAAGTATAAGGCTTTGTAGAATAAATTGGTTGCAATGAGAGATTTGTAAAGAGAGGAGAGACTGCAAAGGTGATGGACATTTAAACAATGCCTATATTCTATACTAATATTCTCTTTATATTGTTTTTTATATCTTGTATTACGCTGAACAAATATATACTTATGAATACCTAGTTGTCTTGTACAGCAGACAAATTTTAAGTGTCACATCCCATAATTCTCCACTAGCTCTGATCATTCATAATTATTACACATAATTACCTTTACAGGTATGCAGAGCTAAGTATTTTGTTCATTTAGAAGTCACCTAGCTTCAGCTCATGGGGTTTTTTTATATTTAGTTTTTACTATCAATTCTAAAAGGTTAAAAGCTCACACTACTGAAAACTGTTTTCTAACAAATTGAAATTGACAATGTACTTTGGAATGTTGAAAAATAAAAATTCTAAGCTGATCAAGAAAATAATTTAGTGCACTATTTAAAAAAAAAATCACATCCCACTGTTAGCAAGAATGAGATAATACATGCTGAATAAAGTATTTTTAAAGTGGACTTTATTAACTATGTTTTTGTTTTTAACAGACAAGTGGTTTCATTTCCAAGCAATATACTTGAGCATCACCTTTTAACTTCACATCAAAGCCATCATACCACAGTTTCAAAGGAATGAGTTGGAAGAAAGATAAAGAATGAAGGAATGAAGGAAAGCCTTGGATAACATAAGCAAATTCCTAGCACACTGAAGATACTCACTTTAGCAACATTGAACAAGAAAAACAATTGTCCTTGAATTTGTAAAGATTAAGTTTTAATGATCACTCAGACTTTATTTAAATCATTGAACCAAATCTCTACTGCTTTGTAATACATGAAGCAATGCAGCTGCTAAAACTGACAAATTGATTAAGTGAAACTAAAAACTGAAACAAAAAAGGGAACTTGTAGTTGCATTTGGCAGTAGGGTTGCCAGGTAGACCCTGCTAAAAAAATGGACACACAGATTAAGTTTTAATGATCACTCAGACTTTATTTAAATCATTGAACCAAATCTCTACTGCTTTGTAATACATGAAGCAATGCAGCTGCTAAAACTGACAAATTGATTAAGTGAAACTAAAAACTGAAACAAAAAAGGGAACTTGTAGTTGCATTTGGCAGTAGGGTTGCCAGGTAGACCCTGCTAAAAAAATGGACACACTTG